CTGTCATTGCCCACGTGAGCGTTGAAGTCCCCCAGCAAAACAACGGAATCCCCCCGCGGCACGCCAAATAGCATACCGCTAAGGGAATCCAAGAAGGCCGGGTACTCTGAACTGACATTTGCACCTAGACAGGTGCTCTGTGCTGTAATGCCAGAGCCAATCTCTGCCCTGGAATATAATCCCAGTGACAAGTGCCATTCTCCTGTCCCGGCTGTCCCCCGCATAAGCACAGATGACAGTCAGAGACCTCTCCCCGACCCGAAGGCGCAGGGAAACAGCCCTCTCGTTCAACGGGGTAAACTCCATTGTTAATGCACCGAGCTGTGGGGCCACCAATAGCCCCAACCCAGCCCGGCGCCGCTCACCCGCCGCAACTCCAGAATAAAAGAGCGTCCAGCCCCTCTCCAGGAGATTGGTTCCAGAACCCAAGCTACAGTATGTGTTGAGGTGAGCCCGACTATATCTAGTCGATACCTCTCAACCTCTCAACCTCACGCACAAGCTCAGGCTCCTTCCCCACCAGAGAGGTGACATTCCATGTCCCGAAAGCCAGTTTTGTCAGCCGGGGATCGGACCGCCAGGGTCTCCCTTGGCTGCCACCCGATCCACAAAGCACCGAACCCCTGACATTCCCCCTGTGGGTGGTGGGCCCACCTGGGGACAGTCCCGCATGCCTCTTTCGGGCTGTGCCCAGCCGGGCCCCACGGGCCAAGGCCCGGCCACCAGGCGCTAGCCAACGGGCCCCTCCCCCAGGCCTGGCTCCAGGGTGGGGCCCCGGTGACCCTAGTCCGGGCGAGGGAAACGGGACTTTGTTTGTATACTTTTTCATAGGGTTCTACAAATGCATGTTTATGTGTATTTGCTCTGTTATGATAAGAAATCACTATGCATTTTAGCTCACAAAGGGATGTACAAATTACCTAAAAAATGTTCAAATGCATGCTGCTATGACCATGTCCCTCCTGACCACTGGGACAGCCTTCACAGGCACGAAACAGCGACCGTGTCCTTAATGACCACTGCATAACACGCTTCATGAGCACAGAATAGCAAGCTTGTCCCTCCTGACCACTGGCACACCCTTCACTCATCGTTCTCAAAAAAGAACCATTTTTCTTCAGGACTGTTGGCTTATTGAAAATGGAGCTGAGGACACCGCTCTCAGAAAATCTTTTATCAAACTTATATGAAAGAAGGCAAGGCAAACACACTTCATACCTGAGTAGTGTGACCTCACACGCACAGATATCCAGAGCATAAATCATGCCACAGCTATTAATGAATCAAAAGTCATTGCTCTTAAGCAATCTGACATTTTCATGCAGACTTTGCACCCAGACAGGTGCTCTGTGCTGTAATGCCAGTGCCGATCTCTGCCCTGGAATATAATCCCAGTGACAAGTACCATTCTCCTGTCCCAGCTGTCCCCCGCCCATTGCCACAGTCTGCCTAGACCTCACAACTGCATGCCAGTAAAAATACACATAAAATAAAGATGTGCGATTTGATTGGCTCCTGTGTGTACTTCCTGCTCAGTAACCTTGTTAGGCTTCTTCCCCTCCCTTGTGTTGTGTTAGTTTCATTGATGCAGCTCAAGCATTTAAGCATTAAAGTTGTTTCCATTTCTCACATTTTTTTAAAGGGTGGCAGTTGTGTAAAATTGCCCCACCCAGCTCAGTCCCCATAATCTACCCTGTAAGATAGGTCCCATGAGTCACTTCCTGCCTCCCTCTGAAAGAATAGAAAGGTGGCATACCTGCTGTGTCATATATGTTCAGAATGATATCTCTGCCTCCAAAATTTGATGTGGTGGTCACTTTTTCAAAGACAGAGGGCACGTATTTCTGAGAAAAAAGGGCAAGAACATGTCAGTTGGCTATTAGAGGTGATTTGTGGCTGCTTTAAAAATCTAAATACTTAAAATGAAATAACAGGGTGGGTTGATGGGCCCTCTGCCGCCTCACAGCCCTGAGTGTGGGGATTTATTTTCACCCCCTTGCTGTGTGTGTGGACCTCGCACATCTGCTCTGGGTACTGCAGTTTCCTTCCATGACCAAATCCATGCATTTTCCTACAGTGTACATGTCCTGCGATCACTTCCAGGGTGTACCCCAGCCCTGTGCCCTGTGCCCTGTGCCCCCTGGGACCCTCTACTCAATGAATGGAAGTTAGATTCAGAATGTAATAATGCACAAACAACAACATAAAGTGTAGTGTTACATTTTAAAAGAGAGATGAGCATCACACCCCCAAAGTCCACGGGGATCAGAGAGAGACCAGCATCACACCCCCATGCTCCATGGGGATCAGAGAGAGATCAGCATCCCACCCTCATGGCCCATGAGGATCAGAGAGAGATGAGCATCACACCCCCATGGTCCATGGGGATCAGAGAGAGATCAACATCACACCCCCATGGTTCATGGGGATCAGAGAGAGATGAGCATCACACCACCACAGTCCATGGGGAAGAGAGAGATCAACATCACACTCCCACGGTCCATGGGGATCAGAAAGAGATGGCATCACCCATCCACAGTTCACGGGGATCACAGAGAGTTCAAAATCACACTCCCACGGTCCAGAGGAAACACACGTTTATCTGTGTATGGACAAGTTGACGATCCCAGGTTGGCATAAACACCTCAGTACTGAATGAATCAGCTGCATTTCTCAGCTCTAACCTACAACCAAACGTATCCATGACACCAACGATAAGCGATTCTTTCACTAAAGCTGATTTCTAAATTTACCCAAGAGGGCTACAGTAGTGTTTCTGACTCGCGAAGTTTTTTTTTTTTCCTGTGGGCCGAATTAGGCATGAATTCAGTGCTCAGTCTTATTGGTTGCTATAAGATGCATAATTACTATTACCAGCCCACCTTAAACGATAACACCGTTAATAACCGGCGTGTTTACTACTCTTTCAGGAATGAATGAGTAATTAAAGTGAAAAAACTGATTGAACTGAATGAAAATAAACTAATAAACCTCATCAGGTGTACGGGCACCAGGTGTCTAGTACGCTACCTCCGAGAAGTCTCTCTTGGAGTACGCCATGAGCAGGGACGTCTTCCCGCAACCACCGTCGCCTACGATCACCATGTTGAGATTTTCGGGTTGAGCCATGTGGGTCCTCGGCTCCGTCTGGCGTATCTTTCTGCTGCTGCGTTAAACGGTGGGCGGTATGTGGTCTGACTGGGAACAGATGAGTTACTCCTGCCGGCGTATTCTGGAGGCTGATCTGTGTCTCTCTCGATCTCACCTGGTCTGTTTAACAGCGCTCCTTTTCTGATGTGTGTGGGGAGGGAGGGAGGGAGCGGAGGTGTGACCGCCACCTCCATGCCTGGGAGATGATCAGCTGCCCCAAGACAGCAGGTTTTCCTTCGCTTCCTCGATCCTGGTCCGTGAATCACCATGAGCATCATCAGTGCCATGACATACATAGTAACAGTGTTGGAGCTGCAGGGGCGGGGACGTGTACCTTCCAATATTTAATTTGGCTTAATTCATGCACCAATAAATAGACCTTTGTATTTATATTATTAAGTTGTGTGTCCCCCAATTGCAAACTGTCTCCTACGCCGTTGCATAGCAACACGGCCATGTCAGATTACTTCACATACAGAATATAATTAGTCAGACATTTTAATGACGTGAACTGATTAAAAGTTCCGTTTTCAGAGAGACATGCATGGAGAGCACCTGTTCAGTTTGATTTACATCACATTGTATACACATGTAAAAGTTTGGGTACCACAATTTATAGTAAAGCAAGACAAATAATGGCTGCTGGTTAAAATGTGTAATAAAATGTGTAAGTAAGCCTAAATATGTAATAGTAATATATAAGCAAATGAATAATATCTTTAATCCCCTCGCGATCCTGCCCAGGTTTAGCGATTATAAAATGGATGGATGAAATGTCTTCCCAGAAGACTGCCTATAAATGTTATCTATGATCATCGTCAGACTTACGAAATCACCCGTTGCCCAAGGGGGCGTCGCCTTTTATGATTCATTCATCCACATTATGTGAAACTATAATTTCCTCCGTGTATCATGTGGCGCCACCTAGAGGAACAGGAGGCAGGTAACTCTTGAATGGATTCGAATTTTTAAAGATGGCGCTGTTACAGCTGGTGACTGTCTCGCGAGTGGCATCGCCACAAAGACGTTATTATGAAGAATGTGTTTGGTGCTCGGGGCAAGTTTATTAACGGTAATGCACATATTTTTTCCCATTAAAGATTCATGCAACATATTGTACGCGTGTGTTTACCCACATTTTGTTCCCTTGCACCAAAATCCCGTTGTAGAAAAGTAGAATCCATGATGTACCCTAAACTTGACGTTACGTCCCATCCTTATCTGTCAATGCGAAATATGCTAGTTTCGTTATTTCAGATAATTTAAACATTAATATAATAGCACAAACGTACATGAAATATATTTAAGAGGCGGGTTCACCAAGAGAACGATCCTTCTCACATCATTCATTGCTACCTGTACGTGGAAACACATAGAAAATTATAATTGTTTATTTTGCATATGACTTGTCTTAATTCCTACATTCGATACCACTACGCGATCATATTGCCTTAACTGATTTTGGGAATGCAAACGAAAATATGTCGAATAAAAATCCATAAGTAGCAAGTGTATGTGGTTTTATGTGAAGCACTAGCAAATTAATCCTCGTCAAAAAACGGATTTCCAGTTGTCAGGATCGAAATGTAGCTAAAAATCAGTAGTAATTATATTCTAAAAAAATCGCAAAGCAAATGCGTTGTTTCTTATGTGTCCCTGTGGTAGAGCAGTAGCAGCTGTAATAGCTATAAATCCGTTACAGTTAACATGTGACCAATTGACGCACTTGAACTGGTATTGCGGATGGTGGATACTAAGTAGGCCGCCCCGATGCGGAGGGACATTTGTGCTTAAAGCAGACAGCTGTGGGTTTGGCAGAAGCAGAAACGCGCGCTGTTTTTATAAATAGATTTTATGTGGATCACCGGCATTTTCGCCTTCCGTACCTGGAAGACTGCGTAAAGCACGTCTTTTCGTTTTTGCTGCCTATCTAAAGACTGTAGCTATAGTATTTCAATGTTTTATCAATACATGTATTCATGTCGTATTATACATTAAAACACTACCCTCCAAGATTGTACAATACAAAGAAATCCAACTGCCATGACTAATCGCATTGATATAGGCTAATTTAAAATTATTACAAATTTTCACAATCATATGAAAATAAATCCATAAAATAGTTTAATTTCAAAATAAATAGTTTAACGCATGATTAAAGCACGAAGTACTTCCCCAGTATTATAAAATGGTCATTACACGCATTATAATCTTAACAGATAATGTAAATTTGTCAGGCTGGCAAATCCCGTTTGTGACAGAATCCTTAAAAAGTGGCCGATTCATTGTTGTGTTGTGCTCCAGGATACGCATACATTTATCTTGCGCTTGAAAGTGAAAATCCACCCATCTTTTAATTTCCAAAAACTCTTTTCCAGGTGAGCGCCGCGTTTGAATGGAAATGTGCCTCTGAGAAATAAGACTTTATCTCTGCAGTGACTTTATCCTCCGGTGGCTTGTCTCTTGCGCGTGGCCACATCAAAATGCTCACATTGAAGATGCGGTTTGGACAGTTTCTGTGGGATCGAATTAAAGTATGACCATCATATTTAACTACAAATGTGACACATACAGCACTATCCCGCGTTTAAACTATATTTTATTTACATTAAATACAAGTTGACTGACACTTCTTATTTAAAAGAAAACGTCGACATTTTCAAGCGACCAAAAAAAATCCTTTTTTGTTGAAGAACATGAGCAAAAATGCAGTTGGTGTCCTCTAATTCATATCTGAGAAAGTCGTCTGAAAGGCTGCGGATTTTCCCCCCACTGGCTGATCGTATCACATTGAGGAGGGTGAAAAAGCAGGGACGGGGCTGGCAAGCCGCCAGGCTGCCGGCGCCGCCGGAGCAGCTGCCGGGCAGGGAGTGCGGAGAGCCGCGCCTGCGGTCCGAGGGATGGCTGCGCCTCACATGGCTGCCTGTCCACTGCGCTGGGTGTCGCAGGAGAATCACTCACTACACATACAAGCAGAGTCAGTCTTTGTCACAATTATTACACCCATGGTCAAAATAAAATAGACAGAGTGGCAGAAAAGCTACTTGAACTCGGAAAGTCAAGCGTATTCTTCGAGAGAATCGCCTGCACCCTGCAATGGCGCAGTTTCACTTCCAAGTCGGGTGAAGAAGCCATTTTGAGATTGCGAACAACAGAGAAGCCATTAATGCTGCTTATTTTAAAAAGTCGCTTTGGAGGAAAGGGAACAGTGTTCTCAAACTCTAATTTACCCCCTTACACTATTTGTATGGTCTTTATTAAGACATCGTCTTCTACAAGGATTACTTTTGCCTAATATTTACTGTAAGTTTGTCTGGTATGCATTTTTTTTTACTTAACATTCGGCATTTCCTGGCATACAGATGGTTTGAATTGTCTGTTGAAAGATCTGAAGGTTAAAAATGCTTGTTAATATTTATTCAATTAAATCAACTCCAGACGTCTTTAGTACGTTTTCAAAACATGGATGTGGTCTGTTTTAAGTAAATTGATTTACATTTCTAATAGATTTTAAGTGAGTAATTTGAGAATGTATATGTAACAACTTACAAAACATACGCTTGTTTTATTTTCCCCATGACGAGCTTGATTAATTGACAGCATTTGAGTGTACATACAGTCTTGAAGAAAAGGAGAACAATCAGCTTTGGACATTACTGTAGCTGATGCTGTCAGGGCGTTTTCTCAGTGAGCAGTTTTATAAATTATAGGGTAAAATACTAAGGAATTTATTCCCTCTTTCTTTTTTTCCCCTAAGGGATCATCATCAAATCTAAAAACCAACCTTTATGTTAATGGATTCGAAGATGGGACTGAAACGGTTCCCTTTTCTCTCATGTAAAGGCCTGGTACATATGATTCGCCACAATGTTCAGGTAAATATTTTGAGCATTATTTCATTGGCTTGGTCTAGCCTGGTGTTTGAAGTCATTGGTCTAAATGCACTTAAACTCTGTATGTGCATCTACAACCAGGATCATTAAAATGTCCTTGAATCGAGGTCAGATATTTACTTACCTTCACAGCTGACTGGAATCAAATGCAAACATGAACACGTTTTAAATGTATCTGAAATATTGTTTTAGGATCTAACAGTTGTACGTGGTCAGATATTTTCCATGTGTTGTTTGGGATGGAAAAAGGCTCATTGTATTATTTAAAATGGGGAATTAGTAATAAGTTAATTCAGGATTACTGAATAACTCCTTAGTAGTGATTAAACATTAAACATACTATTTATTTAAAATTTGCCCATATGTATTTTCTGTAATGTGAAAAGCATTAAAGCTTAAGACAAAGCATGCAATTACTTAACGAACGCTTTAGACGGGAGGCACGTCATTCATTACCTTTTGGTCTATTCACTGAAGGACAGCTCGTCATCACGTTATAGCGCTGACACTTTCTTAATGAAGCATTAATTGTAAAAGCTGTATTCATAAATAAACATTGAAAAACTTACATTTAGCTATAGTCACACTTGGCCACTTTAGTGGGCAGGGTCAATGATGTGAATTAGCAGCATTAGACAACTACAGGTATTGCTAATAATTATAGTAAATAATGCACTCTGTTTAAACATAATAAAAATAAAATTTAACCATTTATTCAGTAGACTTTAACATAAGCAAAATGCTGACATATGGGTGTGCCATGACCTAGTTAGGACAAAGATGGATTCCAGGAAGGGAAAAAAATGTCAGTGATAACGTCCAATTTTTAATCTTCCTTCTTCCCAAATCCTTTAAATGGTGCAAACATTACAACACACTGATGAAGTCCATAAAGAGACGGCGATATGATGCATAAGATCCCTTTTGGAACCATAGAAAACAAGTGACCACTGAGCTCCATTGCAGAAAAATGGCCACCCGCGCGCCAGGCCTCCTCTCTCTGCTCTCCGCTCCGTGCGGTGTCCGTTCGCCTTCTAATAGAGGAGTTAAGATGGTAGCTGCTCTCTGATTGGCCCGTCAGATCTGCCGTTGTTAACCAGCCAATTCCCAAGCACTGCAAAATATCACATAATGTTCGTGGCGATGATGTCCGTTCCGCAAATGCAAAAATAAATATAAAGTACACAACATACTCCAGTGTGTGTTAAAAATCTCTAGTTGTCTTTAAACTGCCAATGTAAAACGTTCATGTAGGATTTTCGTAGGGATGAAAAGGCGAAAGGCGAAATGGAACCTTCCCTCTGATTGGCTCCAGCGGCTTGCTAGGCTTAAGTAAATGAATGAGTCCAATATTCTCATTTGGGCCGTTATTTATGTGTTACAGTACACTGTAAATTAAGAAGAGATCGAAAATTGAAAGAAACATACATCTTGGATCAGTATTAAAACGGAAACATTGACAGCACCAGTTCGGTAGTAGTCCCCTACAACTACTAGTGGCTCCTATCCATCTTGTTTCCTGTTTGCGTAAATTGAGGCGGCAGATTCAACACAATTTTTCGAGGCGGCATTTTCTACGCAAATGTACAATCGCCACTAGCGACACGCCATTTTTCCTCCAATAAATACGTATTTGTTCAAAATGTATTTGTTGAGATAATATAAGTGATTTTTCTTAAACTGACTTGAAAGATTTGAATGGCGAATGTGCCACGGGATGGCTGGGTAGATGCTAGTGCGGCTTGTAGCCCAATAGTGGTGTATTGTGGGAGACACAGAAAACCTAGACCAGAGGCACACAATATGCGTTGGCTCGCAAAAAGGAGGCAGGATCCTTTAAAAGCATGTAATGCAATCAGAGAAATGTAAAAGATCCCTCCGTTTTGGAAGAAAAAAATATCGGAATAAGCTCCATCATGTCCAAGCCGGGGGAAAAAAGCAGGCTTCATGAAGATCACGGTAGAAAGCAGAGTTCAAGTGAGCTTGCTTTTTTTCTTCTCATGTCTGTTTCGATAATGGGGACCAGCTTTAAGCCCCCATTTTTGACCCAACATATTTGCACGGGGAAAAGCAGCGCATGTTGTCTGTAATTGCAATTCATACTTTGCATTGCATTCTGACCGTTTCTCTTTATAGGTTTGGCGAACGGAATGGAAAACAGCCATCCAGTTTGCAGTTCAGGGGAGAAACGGAGTCATCACTGGAGAAGTTATAAGCTGCTTATTGACCCGGCTTTGAAGAAGGGACCGCATAAACTATATCGCTACGATGGACAGAATTTCAGCATGCCCGTAAGTATTTTCTCCCCTCTTGGTGCGAAACAAGCGGGGTAGAGTGATGCATGCGTGATTCATTCAGGCTAGGTGAATGTAGCAGCGGATGGTACTAAGTGCTGTACACCCAACTCCCCACACCTGACAAATTGTACCAGAGCATCACCGTGATGTTGCGAACGCGATTAGTGGCCATTCCAATAAGGAAACATTTTGCTTTTACTGTTTTTTGCAAGAACACATGTGCATTTTATTAGTCTGATTGTTTTCTGATGATGCACGCACTCTGATTTCTGCAGTTTCACACTGAGGGAGGCGTGTTCGTCCATTTATCTGTTTGTTGTGTGTATGAACACGCTGATTTCTCCCCTCCCATTTCCCAGAACCCGGGCATGCCCCCAGTGGATACCGTCCGGGACCCAAGAATCGGTCGTCTCTGGACCAAATACAAGGAGACTGATCTCCCGGTTCCGAAGTTCAAGGTAGCCACATGTGGATGCTTAAATTGTCAGAGGCGATTGGGTTACCTAGATTAAACTTTGCACTGTTATCACAATTATTTGCAAATATTACACCTATTATTATACACAGATAATGATCCCTTGGTTGAAAACATGAATGAATGTGCATGAGATTTTAATTTACGTGTTTTTCGAAAGGTCCACTGACACGAGACAGTTTAAACTGAGGGAAAAACCAAACATCTTTTGCAATGTACTTTTTCCTGCAGATCGATGAATGCTATGTCGGACCGGTCCCTCCGAAAGAGGTGACATTTGCCGGGCTGAACGATAACATCAGAGAGGGATTTTTAACAGACATGTGCAAGAAATTTGGAGATATCGAGGAGGTGGAAATTTTGTATAATCCAAAGAACAAAAAGCATTTAGGAATCGCGAAAGTTTTGTTCGGTACCGTAAAGGCGGCCAAGGACACCGTTCAGAATCTGCACAAGACGTCCGTCATGGGGAACATCATTCACGTGGAGATCGACCCGAAGGGTAAGCGGCGTCGCGCGCCCTCTGCGTTCCGCCGCGGTTTGGGAAGCGTGTCACGGTCCTGAGATCGCAGCTGAAGTCGCGTGCAGAGCATGTTTTCGGTTGCCCGGAAACGGAGCAGACCATGGCGCGTGGTGTTTTTAAAAATACAGCACATTCAGCTTTAACATTTTACTCGTTTTGACATGCGACATGCATGAAATTGCGCAGTAAAACTACGAGTAAAGGATATTTGCTGATTTACTTCGCTTAAAGATTAATGAAACTTTATTGATAGTTTTCAGACTTAAAGTAGCCCATCTTGTAGCGTTTCATCGGACTTCTGTGCTTGATTTCGGTGAATCGGCCTTTTATTAGTACATTACCTTTATTACCAAGCAGTTTATTATTAGTATTAGTGACTGTAGTCATTTGAGAAGCCTTTTACCAATAATACCTTACTGTATGAAGATGTATGAAATACTATTGTATCTGCTCTTCCACACTTCATTGCTGTTTTTTATATATTCTTGTGAAATGGTTTATGGATACAGTATGAATTGTTTGGTGCATATGTTTATTCTAAACAGGTTTTACCTTAGTCATCCACTTCCAAAAACAGCTTACCCTGTCAGGTCTGTAGCCTGTCCTGAAATGCAAGACATCACACCGTGTCATGCTAATCACAAATGCATACACATACATACACACATATACAAAAGGACAAATTCACCTGAACCAGGCATCTTGGCAATCCAAACTTCTGACGCATAGAAATGGGATCTCATTTGAGGCCACAGTGCTGGAGGCATGAAGCCACAGTGCTGCCTGTCCAGGCATCACGTTAGCACTTCCCTCATGGAGATCAGCTTGGTGCCCCGTAACCTCAGTACCAGAACCCAGCTTGGTGCCCCGTAACCTCAGTACCAGAACCCAGCTTGGTTCCCCGTAACCTCAGTACCAGAACCCAGCTTGGTGCCCTGTAACCTTGGTACCAGAACCCAGCCTGGTGCCCCATAACCACAATACCAGAACCCAGCTCCATGCCCTGTATCTTCAGTACCAGAACCCAGCCTGGTGCCCCATAACTATAGTAACAGAACCCAGATGTCCTGTGACCTCAGTACCAGAACAAGCCCAGTTCCAGTGCCCATGACCTTAGTACGAGAATGCCGTTCGATATCGCCTAACCTCAGTACCAGAACACACCCTGGTGCCCCATGACCTCAGTACCAGAACCCAGCTGCGTGCCCCATAATCTCAGTACCAGAACCCAGCTTGGTGCCCCACAATCTCAGTACCATATCCTTGCTTGGTGCCCCGTGACCTCAGTACCAGAACCCAGCCCGGTGCCCCAGGACCACAATACAAGAACCCAGCTCGATGCCCTGTATCTTCAGTACCAGAACCCAGCCTGGTGCCCCATAACTACAATTCCAGAACCCAGATGTTTTGTGACCTCAGGTTCTCAATACCAGAACAAGCCCAGTGCCAGTGCCCATGACCTTATCACAGGAACGCTGTTTGATTTCCCCTAACTTCAGTACCAGAACCCAGCTCGGTACCCTGTAACCTCAATAATAGAACCCAGCTTGCTGCCCCATAACCTCAGTACCAGAATGCAGCCTGTTAAGGAATTAAAACTGTGCAGCCTTAATGAGTGATTCATAAAAAGCCAAACATTTCATATTATAATCCACCGCAAACTGTTGAAATGCAAATTGCCCACAGTTTGTCATTGGGCTGTTGTATTTATGCACTTAGAATTTCAGTTGATAGTATTTTAAAAACTTGTCGTTCTTTAGCTGCCAGTAAAAGGTGCTGCACTGGAAACAATGATTTATAAGTGCATCTTTTGGCATGCTTGTCTTCATAGCTTCTCTCTCAAAATGTTTGCAGAGACAATACTTGACCAGTTGAGAATAAGCGGTTTTATGATTTTTCTGAATAGTTTTCAGTCAGTGTGTCGGCACTCCTAAGGTGACCAGCTCTTGTCCCCCTTTGCTGTCCGCTGTCCAGGTGAGAAGCGCATGCGGTATTTCCAGCTGCTCATCAGTGGCTTCTACACCCCCTGGACACTGCCCCTGGGGAGCGATGACACCTTGGGCACCTCACCCCATGGCGTGACGGACCTCCAGATGGTAAGCCCACGTACCGCCCCCCAGAGGAAGCGGCGGAGGTAAATACGAGGTCTGCTCACCTTCATCAGGATGAAAAATGCTTATCATGCAACTACAGCTGGCTGATTTCAAGGTCAAACCACTCTCCGCACTGTACCGAGTGTTCGTTTAGATGTCTTATTGGCCGTTTTTGGCTGCTATTGCTTCATGAATTTGCCTGTGCTAGTCGCTGTCAGCCCCCCACTCCACGCAGCCGTGACTTGACAGACTTCAGAAAAGTACACACATTCCGCCGCTCCTGCCCGCCCCGTGCTGCTCTCATGCCTGAGCGTGTCTGCCTCAGTGTGGCCTCATTTTGTAGGACCTGTGGAGTGCTGGTTTGGCGCAAAGGTAAAGTGGGAGGGGAGTGAGCCATTTCTGCCGGTCTTTCCTTTGGCGTCACATGCCGTCATGCTCAGTCTGGTCCTGCGCTGCTCTCAGGCTGCTGCTGGCACAGCCAGGCACCTCTCTGGCCTCAAGCTCGCCTCGTCCCTGTTTTGTGGTGGTCTTCATCATTGTCATCGTCGTCTTTCACCATAGTTACTCTGTGCTGGCGCTGAGCAGTTCTGAGTAAAGCACCGGGAGCAGCACCCCATGACTTGTTGTGGGGACATCGCTGTTCAGTTTTTGAAGCTTTGTTTATGGTGGATATTTCAGGGCTTCTGTTTGTGTATCTGTTCCAAGATTTTTACGATAAGTTTCTCCTGGAAGTATCTGTGCGCCGTGTCTGTGTGTGGTGGCTGCGCCAGTGAGGCTGAGCATTTTCCTCTTGAGTGCGTGGACATAACCAACAGCTTGTTATTCCAGCCAATCAGAGTGCACGTCCCTGCATTCCCCGTCATCTTCCCAGCATCCCAGATTGTTTCCTGTGCTTCCAAAGTCCCCTCAGAGCAGCCGATGTCAGAGCCCTCTGCCAATGTGATTCCACTCTGCAGGACCTGACTCTCTCTTTGCTGTTGCTTTACTCAGCCCCGCGACGCCACCCGGAGGCTCTCAGAGGGCAGCTGTTCCACCCTGGGGGGCACCAGCACCCCCAACAGCACTCTCACTCCTCTCTCACTGGACACTGCCTACTCCAGCCTGCGCCAAGACACCCCCAGCAGCTTTGGCCATACCCCGCAGTCCCAGGGCACGCCTCTCACCCCACGCCTTTCCGGAACGCCCTTTTCCCAGGACTCCAACTACTCCAGTCGCCAGAGCACCCCAGTGCACCAGTTGGCGGGAGGCTACCGCGGTGGCCGGAGACACGAGGCCAAGTTTCAGGACGCCTACAACCGGCGACCCGAGCGCCGCTACGTACATGGCACGGGGGGTGTGTACCGCACGGCTGAGCCCCCGCCCTTCCCTGGCCCCACATTCAAGCACCACCTGCCTCCCCCCCCGGCCCCGCCTGAGCCTGCACCCTCAACTCCTCCTGTCAACACCAGCTACAAGTCGGCCTTCTCCCCCTATCAGGCACCCCCACCCTCTATGTATGCCCCCCCTCACACGGAGCACTCCCGGGATCCGGAGTATCGGCGGCTGCTCCCACCTCTCAACAAGACCTTTACCCTGAGCAGTGCCCCCCCCACTCCCACCGACTTTGTCCCTGTGAGGGAGAAGCCAGAAACGCCCCCGCTCCCTGAACCCCCACCTGCTGCCGATTCTCTGCCGGCAGCACCCCCTGGTAGGACCCCCGAGCATTGCTCTTCCCCTGGCACCCCCACGCTGGAATCCGAGCGGCACAGCCTGGACTCACGCATCGAGATGCTGCTTAAGGAGAAGAGGACCAAGCTGCCCTTCCTGAGCGAGAGGGACTCGGACACAGAGGTGCGCATGGAGGGCAGCCCCATCTCCTCGTCTTCGTCACAGCTCTCCCCCATCCCTCCCTATACGTCCGGCCCCCGGCCCCCTAGCACCGGCCTGGAGGACATCAGCCCCACCCCCTTGCCGGACTCGGATGAGGACGAGCCTGTACTTGGCATGGCCGCTTTGCTGTGCAGCCCCTACTCCCGCTCGCCAGGCACTGCCAACCCCCAGGGGGCAGCAGACGGGGCACCGACCAACGAATCTGTCTCCAGAGGTCAGACACCTACTGACAAGATGGATGTGGTAAGGCTGATTTTCTTATTCACTTCTCAGGTCTAAACCATTTCTAATATGTTTAAAAACATCGCTAGCACTTTCTTTTAGGAGTTTTAGTTGATGGTGGGATGATGGGCCTTCTCAAAGTACAGGTTCTGTTGTTGAACAGCGTCCTGAGTGGCCTCATGCTCTGTAGAACGTCATCTGGCTCTGTGAGAGCACATACATCTCTTATTGGTGTTTAGCCTGTACTTGCAGATTTATCCATTTTTGTTACCTGCTAATTACAGTTGTGCCTCATTTGTGAAGTGGCCCTGGGCTCTGAACTTTTAGGACTATTTGCTGTGACTCCAGATGTATTGAGCTGTAGTTCAGAGCTTTTGCATCACCTCTCTTTCGCAAACAAATAATTCTTCACGGTGTAGCTGGGTGTTTTCATGTTATGCCTCCTTCACAGAGGAATGATCCATTCTGGTGCAACTGGGGGGTTTCATGTCATGCCTCCTTCACAGAGGAATGAATCCATTGCAGTATAGCTGAGGTGGTTTCATGTCATGCCGCCTTGACAGAGGAATGATCCATTGCAGTGTGACTGGGGGGGTTTATGTCACGCCTCCTTCACAGAGGAATGAATCCATTGCAGTGTAGCTGAGGTGGTTTTATGTCATGCCGCCTTGGCAGCAGAATGATCCATTGCGGTGTAGCTGGGGGGGTTTCATATGCTTCATTGACAGAGGAATAATCCATTGTGGTGTAGCGGGAGGGGGGGGTTCATGTCATGCCTCCTTGAAAGAGGAATGTTCCATGTGGTGGGCCTGGGGGTTTTCCCATGTATACATCCTGACACTGGACAAATGCTTTATAGTGTCTCAGCAACATGCAGATAATACAATGCAATGTATGTTATGCATGCGTGTAGGATATTTAAAAAAAAAAATTTATGATAGTGTTGGGCAGTATACCGGTTCATACCGAAAACAGTTTTTTTTTTATTGTTATGAGATGAATTCTTCTTATACCACAATACCGGTTTAAATAGCCTACACAATGTTCAGAAAGTGGCGCAACTGGAAACTGTTTAGGGGGGGGGACCTTTTTCACTGTTGCACTGCTAAAAATGTACCGCAAAAGAGCTGACGCTGGAGTTGAAAATAAGGAGACACTGGGGTTCTCAAAAAATCGATTCTCAGATACTAATCGATATTAAAAATGATCTGATTAGATACTCATTTTCACCATTATTGATACCAACGGTGCCGTTTTGCCTCATTTGCCACATTTCACACAGCACCACTACAGCGCAGACACGCAGGCACGCACGCGCACGCACATGCACACACTTGCGCAGCCCCTCCCCTCCTCTCAGTAGCCACTGAATGCATTTGCGCTGGTTAACACACACATACCGAGTTGGCCGAACATGGCATACGCTGCAGTTGAAGGCACTTCACAAGCTGCTTTAGTAAAAAAAAAAAAAAACGCGAAAGTGCTGCTTGGAAGTATTTTGCAGAGGAGCATGGAAAGGCTAAGGATGTCAATAAGGCTCTAAGCAAACAGTGCTACAAAGATGTGGCGACGAAGTCAAGTAGCACGTTGAACCTGGCGAAGCATCTTAAAGACCAGTCTTCCCAGTCTTTATGAGAAATTTCGCGAGGTCAGTAAAGCTCGCGTTCCAGCAACACTGAGCTATTAAACACTTATCAAAAATGTTAACTTGGCTGGTGCACACCTTAACATTAGCTGTTTATCTATAAGCAGTTAGCCAACAAACACGTTAGCCGGATGTTATCATTAAGGTAGCGCATAGGCGCAATGGCTAATAAAGTCATATAGTTAATGTGGGAACAATGCAAAAACGTATAACAAAAATGTGTCCTGTAAAATCCTACAAAATGTGGTAAACGCCCAGTCATACTTAAAAAAAAAATAAAAATACCGTCGTATATCGTGAAACCGATATAACTTTGAAATATTGTGATATTAATTTTTGGTCATACCGCCCAGCTCTATGGTATGATATGTGAATATGTCGGATCATATTTGGTGGCAGGTAGCAGATGTGTATCAGAGGCTCTGATTAAAGTTCTTGTTGGGCCGATCCAGTCCTGCCATCATACGCGTTCCTTATGAGCCCCTTGGAAAAAGTCTGTGTTAGTTGGACCTGCTGGCACCAGACCCCATTCAAACAGACCATGAGACACATGCTCAACAGTTAAAATGTCTTTCTTACAGTACTTAGTCTTTGCTTGTTTTGTTACTGATACTATTTAGCTTCACATCAGATAGAGGGTCACAAGGCGGAATGTTGAAATTAGTCGAATGTGATTTATGAACAGCTCTGAATTCCTGTGAGTGTTTGAAAGGTGAATCACACAGACCCCTGTACCCATCTGTGTGCTTTTCATTCATTCATAGATTGTCCTCAGACTGACATCAGCCACAGCCGCTTTTCAAACACTTAGAAACTCATGACACACGTGCATCAGAACCCCGCTGTGCTGCTGTGACGTGTGGGTGATGCGGGCTACATGTCAATAGGAATGTCACCTTCCCCTGAATAGTGTGGGGACACGTCACTGCGGTGTGCTGGGAGCTGGCTCCCTCCTCCTGTATCTCATTCCCTCCCTCCAACCCACCCTCCCTCAATGGTGTTGTGGTTAGAGAGTGAGAGTGCCCTTCAGGTTTCGCTTTCACTTCACTTCCCATCCCATGAGACGTTCTTTCCGCTGTGGTTTCAGAGAGTGAGTAGCAGTGGTTTCTGTCTGCTTGCCTGTCTGGGCTCTGCTGCGAGTCTGCCGTGTGTCTCCCGTGTCTGCCGCGAGTCTGATATGTGTCTGCTGTGAGTCTGCCGCGAGTCTGCCGCGTGTCTGATATGTGTCTGATGCGAGTCTGCCGCGTGTCTGATATGTGTCTGATGCGAGTCTGCCGCGTGTCTGATATGTGTCTGATGCGAGTCTGCCGCGTGTCTGATATGTCTGCCGTGTGTCTGCCGCGAGTCTGCCGCGTGTCTGATATGTGTCTGCCGCGAGTCTGATATGTGTCTGCAGCGAGTCTGATATGTGTCTGCCGCGAGTCTGCCGCGTGTCTGATATGTGTCTGCCGCGAGTCTGCCGTGTGTCTGCCGCGAGTCTGATATGTGTCTGCCGCGAGTCTGATATGTCTGCCGCGAGTCTGATATGTCTGCCGCGAGTCTGCCGTGTGTCTGCCGCGTGTCTGATATGTGTCTGCCGCGAGTCTGATATGTGTCTGCCGCGAGTCTGCCGCGTGTCTGATATGTGTCTGCCGCGAGTCTGATATGTGTCTGCCGCGAGTCTGATATGTCTGCCGTGTGTCTGCCGCGAGTCTGCCGTGTGTCTCCCTTGTGTCTGCTGCATGTCTGCCGCGTGTCTGATATGTGTCTGCCGCGAGTCTGCCGCGTGTCTGATATGTCTCTGCTGGGAATCTGCCGCATGTCTGCTGCATGTCTGCCGTGTGTCTCCCCTGTGTCTGCCGCATGTCTGCCGTGTGTCTGATATGTCTGCCGTGTGTCTCCCCTGTGTCTGCTGCGTGTCTGCTGCGTGTCTGATATGTGTCTGCCCTGTGTCTGCCCTGTATTCCATGAACCTGAATGATGCTCCCATGTCTCATG